GCTATAAAAAATATTATGTCTTGTTGGAATATTATAGCCATAATTTCATGAAATTTAACTGCATGCTCTTGGTTGACTTGTGTTGAAGTCTCCTCAATTTGATTCTTTGACGTGTTAGTTCATTATATTAGAATTGGTTTTTGTGCTCTACTTTAATTAAGATGATATCTGTTTAGTGAATTAGTATACATCAATTATTTCTTCGTTTTCATATTGTAATTAAGTAATATAAATAATCTAAATTCCTCTATACAGCTAAAATGTTATGAATGGTATATATAAACAGAACAGAACAGAAACTTTGTTCTGTTCTGTTCTGGTAAATATAAAAAATATTACAATTAAGGTAATTGTTTCAAGTTTATATTAAAATTAGCGCAAAAGGAAAACATGAGATTTTTTCTCAAACCATTCCCATTAGCTTACACATATAATTGTATATGGGTCAATATCTATAATATTAAATATAAAGTTAGATTAATCCACAATCTGCCTTATGTCGTGTCAGAGACATAGTTATCTATGTCTCTGGTCGTGTGCACATGATTAATATATACATATGTAGATCTAACTAGTATTAGATGGATGTTTAGATTTGTTAATACAAATCTGTTCAATATGAAAATGCTTATATATATACGACATGTTTAGGATGATAATGATGCCGAAATATATATAATAGAAAATTAAATAGCAATATTTAATTTGAAAATATACATGGTCCGCCTCGTCTCGAGTCACGGTCGGCCCTGTCCCAAAATATGGTCCGCCCCGTCCAAACATCCGGTCCGCGCTGGTACGGTCCGCCCTGTCCCACGGTCCGCCTTGACGTACGTCCCTTAATACTCAGTATCATCTGTTTTTTTGTTGTTGTTTTTTTTCTTCATAAAACAGGAAATTAACTTTAATTATCTTTAACACATATAATTATAGTAAGTCATATAAACAACAATGTCAACAATAAAATCGTGTGGTGACTTTGTGACCCCAATGATTGCTAGCATAATTAATAACAGTATAAGACAAGGAATATTTCCCGATGAATTGAAAAATGCCCGAGTTATTCCAATTTTCAAATCTGGACTGAAAGATGATCCGAGCAACTATCGACCTATTTCTATCTTGCCTACAATATCTAAGATTTTTGAACGTCACATAGCTAATCAGTTACAGCATTTTTTCCAAAAAACAAATATTTTACATAATAAACAATCAGGATTTCGAAAGAATCATTCATGCAATACGGCCCTAATTCATTTGATAGACTCCTGGCTAAAAGATGTTGATAGTGGCAAATATATAGGTACAGTATTTTTAGACCTGCAAAAGGCGTTTGATTTAGTTGACCATGAAATACTTTTATATAAACTCAAACTTTATCACTTTTCTGTCACATCATTAAAACTGTTTCATTCGTATCTGTCTAATCGTATGCAAATAATTCAAATTGGAGACTTAAAATCTGACGTACAATATGTTACCTCTGGCGTTCCACAAGGCTAAATATTAGGTCCTTTACTGTTTCTTCTTTATATAAATGATCTCCCAAATATTTGCGATGATGTTAACATAGATTTATATGCTGATGATTCCACGTTGCATAAATCTGGAGATGACATATCAGTTATAGAAGAAAAACTACAATATAGCCTTAATATGATTGTTTAGTGGTGTAAAATAAATAATATGCCTTTACACCCTAAAAAATCTAAAAGTATGCTGGTAGGTAGTAGACAAAAGCTAAAGATTGCAAAAGCATTAAATTTGAAAATTAACGACTCAACTCTTGACAATGTAGAATCACAAAAACTGCTTGGTATTTATGTTGAAAATACACTCAATTGGCACTGTCAGGTAAATGATGTGTGTAAAAAATTGAACTCTAAAGTTAATTTATTTAGGCGTATAAAGTACTTTTTAAATAAGGAATCTCGCATGCTTTTTTATAATGCATACCTTCCTATTTTTGATTATTGTTGTAATATATGGGGAAAAGAAAACAAAAATATATATATGCCAAATATACAAAATACAAACACGAATTTGCAAAATTACTCTAGACCTTCCAATGAGAAAGCAATCAGAAAATTTATACAAAAGATTAAAAATATTGCCTTTCAAGAAAAGATGTATTTTTCACAGCGGTGTCCAAGTATATAAAGCATTGAATAATATGTCCCCTCAATATATCCGAGACTTACTTACCAAATCTAATAATCAAAAGTATAATCTAAGATCGATATCTCACCGAAATTTAATTTCGTCTTACAAACCACGTACTAATTATTTTAATGATACATTCCAATTTAATGCCATGGTTATTTGGAATTCCATACCACTGACTATAAGAAGAAGAACAAAATTGTCAATATTTAAGAAATGTTTCAAGAAATACTTATTTAATCAACTTTAGCACGGTCCGTATGTCTTATATATACAGGATACGCTCTTTATATTCATACATGTGTTTTTTATTATTATGTTTTCTAATAATGGGTGTCTGTCTTAGTTTCAAGTTTTTTGACTGTGTTAATTTTGTAAGTTAATTTTACTTTTTAAATTGCAGATTAAAATGATGCACTGATGAAAGTATTATGTTTAATGATAAATAAAATAAATTGTATGAATGTTCAGTATATGTGTTAATACATGTATATGTTAAAATTGTGATAACCATTTAATCATTTCTTTTTACATGTTATATTTTCTTTGATTGATATGTGTTCTTTTGTGTGTGTGTTTTTATTTTTATTTTAGAAGGCCGCATTGTAAATAAGATGTTGCAATCTGTATATGTCTTAATGTGTTACCTTCGGTAAATAAAGTTATTATTATTATTATTATTATTATTATTATTATTAATAGCTTAAGAATGAAATAATAACAATTACTGCATCAAAATGGTAATCCAATAATGGAAATCAAGTAAAAAAAAGGTGAAGACTACTCACCAGCCCTTAAACATTACGTATCTCACTGGTTTGAAAGTGGTGCTTGGCTAAATATTAAATAGTTTAATCAATATGAATATTCATTGTGTCGATGAGATAAATCAACAATCAATAAAATTTTGGAAACAACTAGGTGGAACTTAGTAATTAACCAACATTCCTCGCTGGAGCCAGTATGCATAAAACCTTAAAATATAACCATGCTGTGAATGCACATACTTATAAGTAAGTTCATACATTTTTTAAGGATTTTGCTGATTAATTATCTCCCATTTCTATTTTTTAAAAGCGCATTTAGCCTTAGAAATGGATATAACTGCAGCTTTGAATGTGAAATAATTTGCCTTAAAAATAGCAAAACATAAACAAATTGCATTCTGTCACTATACAAAATACACAATAACTTTAACTTTGATAACACCTAAAAAAACATTAAAATAAATGTTTCTCACATGTTCAATGAGTAACGATTAATATATATTTACTTACAAACATGTCATACTGGCACACAAACCTACAGTCAGACGTTCCTTCGATCGCTTGCCATCGGCACAATCTTCCCCGTTTTTGAAAAACTTTGATTTTGTTGAATCTCTATAGAGCAACCCAGTCCCGTCCATATTGAATCTATTGTATGGTTTGTAACCCTCAAACAGTGTCGGAAGTTTATTTTGTCGTTCTTCAACAAATGTTTTGTCTACATCACATTCCTACGACATTGTCTAAAACACAATATTGTTTCGTGGAAGAAAACTCTCTAGCCAGCCATTAGAGCCTAGGAAGTCAAAGTCAGTCACACCTAAATCAACTAAGTGCTTTTTCCTTCAAAAATGGACAGGATACATTAATTCTACGACTAGTATCATCATTTGTTTTATGTTTTATTCTTTCAAAAGTTGTCTCATGGCGCGGCCGTTTGTAATTGATATTTTAATTGCTTTCAAATTCCTCCAATTATTTCACGTTTTTTTTCCATAAAAATTGCAATGAATTTGTGTCCTTCCATCACCTGCTTATTCAGCCTTAACTCTTCCACTTTGAAACATTTTCATTTTCATTAAGTTTTATCACATTTACTCTTTCTTCTTAAGTCTAAAATCTTATTTTTGACTTTTTTTCGTGCTCAAATGTTATTTTTATACTACTTGTAATAAAACAATTTTGAAAACAAGATCTAGAATTGGCAACTTTGGCTCTAGTTATAAGGATTCTGTCTCTAATTATCTGGACAATAAAGTATGCAGATGTAGTTTTATAGCTGTAATATATGACATCAAAGACACAAGCGATACATTCAAATTGATTAATTATTATAATTGGAACATGCTCTACAATTAAATAATCAAACAATCAAATATAAAAATACCGACAACCCCGTAATTCGGATATTCAATTACCTTTTCACACCTATTGCATATCTGATGTGTTTCTTCAACTAAAAATGATTGTGAACGGTCGGGTGATCATTTTCCCCTAATGTTTTGTTGTTTTAATCGTGCCAAAACAAACAATGCCCGGTCATAATACACCTCTGACCGTTGCTGGGGACAAAAAAATGGTCAAGAGGATACTTTTTACGGCCACTGACCACAGACAACAAGTGACCGCTATTTCGTTTTATAGGGAATTTCAAAGGGGGGAATCAACATGATCGTTGTTGGCAAATGACTGCTACTCGGAACGGCCCTTTACTTTAGCACAATTTAGACTTTACATATGCAGATTGGAAAATAAACAATACAGCAATAAAGTTAACAACTTTTTTTCAAGAACAATTCTTATTTTGATTTATATATGCGTTTAAAGTATAAAAGTGCACACAACAAGACATTAGTAACATGAAGCTATTAGAAGAATATATTCCTTTATATAATATCTGTATTTTATCTACATTCTTATTATTTTATCCCAACCGTTAGAATTTGCATTGTACATTCAGTGTATAATTGAATATATAGATTTGCAGCTAATAATGTTATTCGTTTCCTTTCCAAACAAAAATAAAAATAAACGAAATAAGGGTAAAATCCAAGACGTGTTTGGTCTGAATTGTAGTGATAGGTGTTACTAAAACGTTTGTGAATACTTAAATTTTACTAATAATATTTTGCAGACATCACAAAATTAACGAAGGCATGCCAAAATTACTGTTTAGAAGGTTCGAATCTTACTGTTGGCAGAGTACCCCTTTCAGACTGTGTCTATCTAGCAAACATTCCCTTTGAAGTTAGCGAAGATACCATAAGATTTTATTTTGAGTTCAAATTTGGAGAAAGAGGAAAAGTTGAGAAAACTATCATGAACAAATCAGAGAGAACTTGTTTGGTGTATTTTCAGGACTTCAAAGGTTTTATTTTACAACTGATTGTATTCCATTTCATTCTGAGAGCAAGATATGTATAAATACAATAATAGAAGCGGAATGATATTAACGCTCTCGTATGCTATTATCTTAATGAACTATATTTTAAGATCTAAGTAAACGGGCACACATCACACCAACATTTCGTTAGTGGTTCCCGATCATAAACAAAGGGTTTCGTGTACCAACTAATTGGCTGTCTCTAAATAACGTAATGGGACCGGATCTCATTTTCCCTGGCAGTGCTTGATGGTGACCGTCAAAATATGAAAATTATCTCCGAGAAGAAGAGTAAAAAAACAATTTTTAAGATATAAACCTTTCCTTGAAATTTTATATATGAGATTATTTCGTGGTCTAGCTACTTTTCCGAATAAGCTAGTATTACGAGACTTTTCAAATGATAAAAATATAAAAGCAATAAATTGGTGTTTATCATTTGTTGTTTTTTACTTTCTTTAGGGGTTGTTGTTCTCTCTATTTCAACTTCTTATATTCCAGTTGTCGACAATTTATTAGAACAAGAACACACACTCGGAGGCAAATTAATTTATGTAAAATGTTACCAAGCGTTACTTAAAGGGTCAGAAGTACAAAGTAGGGAAAGAGTTTTTAGAGTACCAGATTCGATAGATTTGTCTCACATTGAACCAAGAGTTATAGAGTTCTGCCATACTGTTCCATTTTACAGAAAGAAACTGGAAGAGGAATTGTCTAAGGAGTATGGAAATTTAAAATGGCCCTCTAAATCAAACAAAACTGCGCTTATTGAATGCACTCTTGATTTCTCCGCCCCTGGCTGCTTTAAACGTGCAAAGATATGGACCGAACGGATAATGAAAATAGTAAATGTATTTATTGGAGATCTATCGTTGATAAAATTGGATGTCCTTCCAGATATTTGGGACAGCCTTACGGAACATTTAAAATCAATTTCGATAAAAAAAACCTGAGTCTGCACAAGTTGTTTTGAACAAGTTAGAACATGCAATTGTCATTGTAGGGGAAAATGAAGTTGTAGATGTGACCAAAAAAGAAATTAATTGTACCATGACAATGTTGAAACAAAAATTTGAAAAGGACCGACAAAGATATAGAGACAATATACGAGGATTTCAGCCAATCGAACTCTGCCTCATGAAACGCAATAATGCAGAGCAGAAAGTTAAGCAACACTTAGATGATTTGCAAATGGAAATTGACATTGAAAACAATGTCATCGCTTTTGAAGGTTCAGTGGAATCTGTAAAGGAAGCTCAAATAAAATTGTATGAGATGAAAAGTAATTTTGGAAAGAGACAAGTAAAAGTATCGTCTAACATGTGCATTGCACTTTATAAATCTAAAGATGTTGTTCACTTCATCCAGAACATTTTGGAAGAAAATGGATTACAGGCAGTTTGGGAAATAAACGAGTCTTCTCTTCTGATATGTTGCATGCAAGAAGAAATGCTTGATGAGTGTACTGAAATTATTTTGGAAGGCATTAAAGAAGAAGTTATTGAATATGATGCAGACTCTGTGCCTTATATGAGGACCGACACTTGGGCGAAGAAAAAGGATAGCTTACTTACACATTACAATGGAAAAATAGGCATTTGCATTGCAGAAGATGAAACTCAAGTAATTGTCTGTGTAACTAAGGATATCCATAAGGCAGTCATCGCTGAAGTAAAGCAATTTTTAGATTCAAGCACAATTATGTCAGAGAATCTTTACTATTCGAAAGAAGTTATTAGATTGATTGAAAAACATCATCGACAAGAAATAACTGACATTGAAAATGGCCAAAAGGCTTACAGTGTTCAGATAAAAACGCTTGAGCATTATAGTGGCATTTATGTTTGTGGGTTATCACCAGGGTTACAGGAGACAGTCCTTAAGGTAACAAAATTGAATGGCAAAGTAAAGAAAACAGACTCTTTTTAAATGCACTATTTCAATCGAGGGAGGTAACATAGGTATAACACCTGTTGGAAGCACACGTGTTGCTGCCGAATGTACATGCTTAGGAGACAGAAAGTTGATTGCGTTGGTCGGTGACATGACCGAACTAGAAGTAGATATGCTGGTAAATCCAGATGATAAACAAATGCAGTTACTTGGCTGTCTCGGAAGAGTTATTATTTCTAAAGGTATAGTCATAAATTCCATTCAATGCTTTAATACGTAAAGAGTAAAAGTAGCGCTTTAAAATACTACAAGGTTGGAAATTGTAAATCATTATCTTATAATTTGCCATTTCAAATGTGAAAAGGAAATGAACAATCATTATTTTTGCAACACTTTGTTTTATAGAAAAATAAAATATATGAAGCACATAAACCACATTTAGTAATATACCAGCTCAAAAGAAAAATGCACAGACAAAATTATTATAAAGGTCGTGTTATTCATTTATGCTTTACAGTTTATAATCCAAGGTCTGTTTGAGTTTCGTTTTGCACCGCACAAACACATATGTTGACTATCTAGCTTTACTGTTGAAGGAAAACATCCGTGCATTATTTAAGGCACGAAAACCGGCCTCAGTAAACAACAGTCGTTCCGTATGCTGACTGGGCAGGTTCCTCGCGTGAAAGAATTACAGCGGAATTCGAACCTACAGCCGTGCGGTATACGTGGTTTGAAGTCAACGATGCTAAATTGGAAATATCAATGATGGCGGCCTCCAACTGGAAAACATTCTATGGTTGATGATTTATAAAAATATAAGTTTCTATTAAAAATCAAAGCTATGAAAAATTGGCAAATTGGAAATTCTCTACGTATAATTACCAAATCATGTAAACGCACGAGTACAATATGAAAGAAACAACTTTCA